GTGATTCGCTTTTTAGAAGCAACTCGACATCTCTCTCGGAACAACGGTGTAGTATACCCACCACCAGCCAGTCACTATGCCAGTCCTATCTGTCAGGTCTGGACTTGAAGACTCTTCGAGGCAACCCGATTGAATCCCCCAAAGTGAGGGGATTTGAGCAAAACGTTCGGTCGCGGGCAGGGATTCCAATGGAACCTGGATTTGTCCAGGAACACAACAAAGAAACTAACATCTTCCCCACATCTTCCCCCAAACACGTCAAAAAAAGATCCGAAACATCATAATTAGGAAAAACATCACAAAACACCCGCCAGTGCTCTATCTAACACCGCCATCCAACCACCGCTATCTCAGCGACCGTCGTCCAACGACACGCCGCCGGGCCGGTCCGACCTTCACGGGCGACATGGGATCCGCCGGGCCCGGCGGCTCCTTCACCCGGTGCCGGCGACCTGGGCCGGAGCCAGGTGCGGTGCGATCGATGGGGGCCGGGAGCCGGAGCGAAGGAAGCAAAGATCCCCAGGTTTGGGGATGACACTTTGGGGAAAAAAGAATCACCTGATCAAAAACGTTTGGATGTGAGGTGTCCAAGTGAGAATTATGGAATGATTATGAATGATTATGAATGATTCCAGTGCTGCACAAAACGCTTGGATGGTTCGATGGAAGGGATCCGGGGCATCTGGGGGTCCGTCTATAAACCACTGGGTGGTGGGTGAAATGATTGACGCTGCTTGTGTATTGAGATGTTATGAGTGTGCTGCTTGAATGTGCCATGCCTCATATTAAAATAAAGGTTTCGAAAGGCCCAACCCATACTGGCCAATAGAGGCGGTGATGTTTGTGTATGTTTCCACCGAAGGTTCCATGATGTCAGAGTTGAACTGGGAGAAGTCTCAGCTGCAGGTGGAGACACTGGGGGGTGGGAAGAGGTGTTGATCAATCATTTCCTATGGCTGATAGAAGAAACATGAAGAAGCACACTGCACAATTTGGAACCATCTGTATGTGACGCGGATGATTTATTGTTTCATGTATCCGAGCAAAATTGGATTTGCCATGATTTACCTATCAATCAACATGGTGTTTTCATAAAGCAACATGAAGCAAACCCAACATTGCCTCGAATATGTTCAAGTCAACGCTTTGCTCCTAGATCCTAAAGTCAGTAAAAGAATACTACCGTACCCTCCCCAATATGCGTCTTAAGACAGTTTCAAGGCTTGTTTAGGTGAGGAGTGGGGCAAGGTCCCCTGTTTGATCCTTTCGCAGCATGGGTGGACCTTTTATGTGAACATTAACTCATTCGCTTGGACCGGGTAAGCAACAGCCAAGTTTGACACTTTTTGATACCCCGACTGCATATCCAAATAACACACTGCCGGTGGATCGAACAAAACAGGTTTGGAGTCAAATCGTCCACGACCGTCGACACCCACACACACCAAACAATAAACATCTGAAGCCCCTGGCCTTTCTACCGGGGAAAACCACACCAAGGCCATTCCAACCGGGTTTTGTGTAGAAAGGCGTTCACCAACCCACCTGAAACAGACGGACTCGTAAGGTCATAAACCAACGTTTACCTCCGTCTTCAGGTGTTGAGTTGCTGAAGCACACAAGCGCTAGTTTTAAGGCCCCGCAGTGACCAGACAGGGCTGAAATCATTGAAAAAAATAGAAAACAAAAAATAAGCAAAAAATAATCAACTCAAGAACTCAAATCCAAAACAAACTCAACAACAAAACTCAACACAAACTCAAAAACAACTCAAAAACAAACTCAAAAAAAAACTCAAAAACAACTCAAAAACCATGTTTGAGTACAATTTGAGTCCAATCTGAGTCCAATTTGAGTCCAATCTGAGTCCAATTTGAGTCTCTCAATTGAGTGGCTTTGGAATCTGAGTTTCGGGTCTGAGTTTTTTTTTAGTAGGTTGTTGTTTTTTATTTTTTTCATCTTGACCCCTTGCTGTCTGGGTCCGCGTGATCTTAACGCTAGTTTCAACATGTTTCAACTAGAGTACTCAGTGTACACCCCTTGGAACTGCGCTTGCAAGAACACTGCCACATTAATATCATTAATTGATATGATATACCTTTCAATACCTTATTGCAAGGAGTCATACAGGTTCTCACATGGGTCCCACAATCCAATCCAGGCTTGAACAACCTGTGGCAGTTGTGCATGTTTTAGGACTTTTTGGAATCACAGGCTCTGTATAAGATCTCTTTATTGAACAATCATGTTGTATACATGTCTGTTTAATGATGTTTAATGCTTTATCTTAATCCTGTGGAACTGACATTCGCGCCGATGCATACCAATAAAAAGCAACAAAACGGGAGCTGAACTCTATCTGATTCTATTCGTTTCGAGCGACCGACCGGCCACAGCTCCTCCGTCCGGTCCCCAGTGTTTCGCCCAGGGGCGCACCGGCGTGAAGTACAGACGCCGGGACTCTTGCAGGAAGCCTGTGGGACGAGTACTCGCGTGCGTCGTGGGATGGATCACCGGTCGAAAACAAACCATCGGTTGACGCGGAAAGCGTCTTGGCTCGCCTTAAAATCAATGGGTTGACCTGGTATCGTAGACTTGGTGTTGCATTGTATCAAAATCCTTAGTAATTACATATAATTACACACCCTTCCAATTGGTTGACCTGGTTTTGCAACTGGTTTTGTATCATAGTGTAAAGTCCTTAGTCCAACAACAACGTCTTCTGGTGAAGACCGTCGGCGCTTTGAATCCTAAGGACTGAAGACCGTCAATGGCGCATTCCCATTCCTACTCTGTTCCCCGTTCCGAGCGGAGAACCATCCTCTTGTCCTATACTATACTGAAGGAAAAGGGGCCGTGGGAATTGGAGATCATAGCATTGGCTCCTCTTACAACATGGAATTAGCAAGTTTACTCTGCAATAGAACAGTAGCAACCTGTGGAGTGGCCGGGAGAACACCACCTGATGTATACCCAGCTGGTTGCTGGTTTCAACTCACTTGAACAATGTGAGTCAGTGGGATCAATCATCGCAGGTGAACGCTGAACAGAACAACGAAAAATCTGAAAACACCCCCAACCCCATAGACGTTGGGCCTTCGAGTGAATCAGTCCAGTCTGAGGCAAGTCGACTGGCTCATCTTCCGACTCCCCGCTGACCAATCCCCTCAAATGGGGCGTCCCAGAAAAAGGACACCTGAAACTGAAGGTTCTTCACATATCTTCACAGTGCCTTTTGTTGGATGCAACAAATTGAACAAATCACAAGTAGAAGAAAGATGAGTGGAAATTAACAGTTCCACTGTCACAGATTCTGCAAATCGGTAGGCATCCTCGCGTGAACCCTTCTCCCCCCGAGCTACGGCCGTTCCGAGCTTCCGCCCCATGCTCACCTCCCAAGCCACTGGTCATGGTGAGATAGGGCGTTTTCTGTCCAAGCCCGGATTTGGGTGAACTAAGGATGTGAAGGATACCAGGAATTAGAGCGATCTGATCCAGCAGGAGACAATATCTGCATGTCTCCAGATATTGAAACAATTCGATATGGGGTCATATGGAGTCGGATTGATTATACAGTAGCCCGAACTTAGATGAACTTGTAAATACTTTGTGCTTGTATCTGTTTAATGATGCTCGTCTGCCAATTTTTACGGGACGTCCTCTGTGTGACTTGTGACGTCCTCAGTGTGAATGATGTGTTTTTCAGGCACCTGTGTGTAGTGAATGAGCCCACCAATGTTAGGGTTTGCGCCGTCTTTCGACTTCCACTCAAACCGGCAAGTCTTTGAACCAAAAGCCGATGCCATGATGCCAGCAAGCATTGGCTGATGATTTAGTCAGAACAGCCATTCGAGGTAAATTGGATTGGTCTGCTGTAAGCATTCAAGTACTTCAAGTGGGTGTTCAGTTGCTTCAATGACTGGCTGCTGTAAAACGACCGACTCAAACATGCAACTTCAGATTCAAAGGTGTGTTTCTTGCTGGTTCAGATTTATGGGGCAACTTCGACCGAGGCCGTCAACAAAATTGGTGTTTTAGGGATCACTGGGAGCAAACTGAGCAGCCTTGAGGTAGAATATGGTAGAATAGCGACAAACCGATCGTGCCATGTGTTGCTGTGCAAAACGCTCAGGGGCTTCAATATCTGTCAGTATATGTACTACTATCTCATCCAGAGAGGTCCCCCGAAGTTCACCTGCTATAGCCTGTCATCGTGGATTCGTCAGCTTAGCTTGTCGTGGATTCCTAAGGTCTGCACGAAATTCAGCTTGTTATCTGCTCTGAAACGTTCCTTTGCACGGTATGTCACCTGGAGGATCTGTTCGTACCTCAGAAAATGGCTGCTTAAGGTTATTTTGATCGGGTTATGTCCATGTCCCATGTCCCATGTTCTAGGCAACGAACGAGACGTCGGGTTCGCGCATGGAAAGAGGTGAAACAGATTTCTTTTTCGGTGAATCGGCCTCATCGCTTTTTTGGTCAACATCCCCTCCGAAGGTCTGAACTTAAAGACTTCACAACCCTGGGTTCACCCAGACACGGCACAATCCGTGAAAACCACCCGTGAGAGGTCCGTGAGAGGTCCCTCAAAAACCTCAAAAACCTCTTTAGATCAGGTCAGAGGTTCGGGATTTGACATGAGAAGATTCCACACCCCAAAACAAACATTTCGAGTCCGATCCCTCCGCCCGCGAGAATAGGGCGTTCCCTCGTCTCGGTGGTCGTGGACGACCCACGATCCCTGTTAGGCTTCGAGGCCGCCTTGGAGTCGCTTTTTGGAGGCTGCCTTTTACAGGGTCTAAGTGACCTCCACGGATGAAAAGGTCACTTGGAAGAACCAGGATCTGCTTGTCTAAGAGGAACACCGTGAACACCGTCTTCTTTTGGGGGCCATGTTTCACTTCCATGGTGGGATGGAGGGTATGTCATCTAGACTTTGGCCATCCACTTCCATGATTGTTCCGGAGTGTAGTTTCAGGTTTTCAGATGACCAGATCTGCCTTCATGGAGTAGTAGAGAGGCCGGAAGAGCTGGTCGACCAAATGCCTGGCTTGGAAGGCATATTTTCGAACCCAAGGGGGGGGTGCAAATCCCCGAAAGCCCTCGTGGAACAAACCAGTGCGTGACAACTGTGGAATTGGACGCTTGGGGGTCGTGAAACGTCAAAACTGTAATTATGAACAATTGTCAACTGTCAACATGACCATACTGCTACAATTTTTCTGGTACTGACAAAAGCTTGCATCTATCTGATTGCTCATCAATCTCATCCTCAAATTTCCTGGTATAGCCACATGGGGTGTTGTAAAAACCCAGTGTCTTTTGCAATACCTCGAAACCATGTTATCGTGTTTTTTTCTACTCTTATCGTTTTCTCAGGTGAAAGCATCTTTGGTGGAAGATCACAAATCAAAAGATGTCCTTTGGTGGTCTACATGGTCCTACTTCAGGATCCCGCAGCATATGGACCAAACAGCCCATTCAGTTCCTAGTAGTAAGGCCAGGAGCCCCTAAGAGCTTCTTGTTCCTGGTAGCGATGTTGCTTTGTAGTAAGGCAAGGAGTCCCTAGTAGCTTTTTGTTATTGTTCTTAGTAGCAAGGCCAGGAGTCCCTAGTAGCTTCTTGTTCCTAGTAGTAAGGCCAGGAGTCCCTAGCAGCTTCTTGTTCCTAGTAGTAAGGCCAGGAGCCCCTAGTAGCTTTTTGTTCTGAATGTGCAGGTATAATAATTGTTATCGTTCTTTTTACTCTTGTCGTTTTCTGGGGTAGGAATGCATTAGTAGTGCTAAGGTGCATGCCAATACTAAACCGCTGAGCACAGGGTTATTACAACAGCCCACATGCCAACATCTCATTCCCCCGAAATCCAAACCCTCTGATTGGAGTCAAGATGGTGAACAACTACGAGCACATCGATCTCCCTCGACTTGTGCTCGTTACGGCATGGACCAAATATAGACCGGTTTCATCCAACGTCGCCCAGCTCGAAATGGTTTCGCATCTGCGGTCCGATCGGTCCTGTCCTATGTCGACCTGGCCATGGGCTCGTGACCCATGTTTTCACCCGACGGTCGTTCACCATTGGCCGCGCGAGGTCGACACCAAATAAGCAGAACCCATCGGGGGCTCCCAGTCGACCCCCACGGCCGAACAACCACCGAAACGGCCGAACAGATGCTGCAGCCGGCCGTTTCGGTGTTCGACCGGATCCGGTCCCAAAACCGTTAAAGACCACCGCTCCGCGGCCGTCCGTCGTGAGAGGTCCCGTCCGGACGCCTGGTGAGCTTGTCCAGCGCCTCTTTCTCCGTCTCTTGAAGACCCTGGAAGCGACCAAAATGGGCCGGACCGCAAATGGACCAGGCTGATGAGGTGATACACACCCTTTACTAAAGGCGTTTAAGCAGACAACATGATTTGGTGGATGGAGTTTCTTGCTTCCTTGGGCTTTAGCAAGGTGGGAGGGTTTAAGGCAACCGGTATCAACCAGTTCATTAGGTCGACTACCTGCAAAACGTTTGGTGCTCGTAAATCGCACACGCAAAGGTGCTGTTGCTCAAGCAACATAATAGCAAGATTGGTAAACATGTTTGTTGGTTGGGGTACCAGCATCTTATGATGCAGCCTGACGTGATGTGAATCAACATGGGAGACAATCCCAACATCTAAATGGTGTCCCAGATTGAGTCAACTGGAGTGCTAACACAACGAAACAATGAGAAACATCAATCAGGAGTCGACGAGCGTTTCAGATGTCCCATCAGTCTCACCATCCCAAGAGGTCTACGTACCTCCCCGGTGCGTTTTTGGTGGTCTACGTCTCAAACCAACGAACATGGTCGACCTGGGGCCCCTCAGCAGTACATGAAACCGATGGTCTTCCACCGATGGTCTTCCGCATGAAAGGCGTTCGGGCCCCCCTTGCAGATCCGACATCGGCCTTCAGCTTGTGTTCCATCTTGGCATACTCGCTGCGGCGGATGTTCTCAGCCATTGCCTGGGAGATGGGAGATGCTTCGACACAAGGTCATCCAAAGGATCCCTACCAAAGGCAGAACTCCAGTCAGTGCAAGTTCCGAGAAATAGATATATGGAGAAAAGATGAGAAAAGCGCAAGGGGGCTGAAGAAGTGGCTGAAACCAGCTGCTTCAGGATGCATCTACACTTGGAGAGCCCTAAGTCACCTTCTATTTGCAGTGCATACGGGAGTTGCATTCAAATACTTGATTTAGTGTGCGCGCGCGCACTAAAACACCCTCTTCTGCAGCAAAGCACACTTCTGCAGACAATCACACACATTCCAGCCCTCCAGAACTTTCTTGATCTGTCCAGCTTCCGCAAATGTCCAGTTCGTTCCGTTAGGTCAAGCATCGTTAGCACATAACACACAAAGAGGGGTCCTTTGACCGTGCGCAACGCACTGCCGTGACGATGTGCCCAAACCCGGCATCAATTTTTGAACTCTACCAAAACCGCAAGAGATAAGAGTACAATAAATATTAAGAAAAAGACATGATCCAGCGCATGGTTTATAGTTGTGGTTGTTGCTTGATCTTTTATTTGGTTCTTACGAGATCTTACGAGTAACATCAACTTCTTCTGCCAGCGAACGATGGCCAAATCGCCCCTTGAAAAAAACGGACCTACTGTCCTTTCCGGTTCCACGGGTCAACGCGGTGTTCCATTTCCACGTTGTGAGTGGCGGCGGAGTGGATCCGAAACACCACTCTTCGGACGCGTTGATTCCGGAACTGCACCGAACTCATCCCAGGACTGAAACCTGCAAGGCAGCCAGGTAGGGCACCGCCCCTTGCGATGCCTCCGGCCGGTAGGGGTGGTGGTGTGGTGACCCTCACTGGATCGAGGGAAATGGGACCGGATCAGCGATGCACATGGACCAGGACCTTCAAAGTGACCGTCCTTGAGATCCTAGAATGAGGTCACTTAGTCCCTAAAGAGGTCACTTCCAGACTCCAAAGAGGTCAGATTGAAGGTCTAGGACTCAATATTCCAACCCGGCTGGAATCAAGGGGAAGCAACCGGTCCGCAGTTTTGGGAGTTCATGGCAGAAAACGGGAGCTGGCCACGGGAGAGAACTCCCAGCCCAGTCCAAGTGGGTTGTAATAACTTATGCAATTACCACAGAAAAGCTGAGCCGCTTTTGCTCAATATGAGTCAATATGGTGCAATACCAAAATTGAACAACGCTATGAACTTTGCGAAGGTAGCCGGTGTTTATAGTGGGGCCTACCATCATCCATGTACCGCTTATTGACATCATGTGCAGGCAAAATCCATTGACACTTGTGACGACACCCCTTTGTGGGTCTTATAGCAAAGCTCCTTGACTGGGGATTGCTTCACGTTTTGAGGGAGCAAGGTCGTTTTGCGAAGTTTGGGTCTCTTTGTAGAAACTGACCCCGACGGAGGAAGATCATATTGGATCTCTTGAGGGGACCTGGACTGTTGAGGTTTGAGGGACAGCAGGTTCTTCGGGTGAATATATTGGCCCAAAAGGTAGGTGACACGACTTGTCCGACTTGCGCACATGCAATTTGATGCACCACCCGCATCTCTTGTTACCCATTCGCAGCAGGTATAGGGGTAGAGAAAGACTAGGCGAAAGTATCACAACATGAATTAACACTGATTCTAAGGGGTTATCGGTGATCTCCATCCAAAGTACCTGACGTGTCGGCAATACCGTAATGAGACCCACTGTGAACGAACCTAATCTGGAACAGGATTGGCAAGTGAAATCAAGTGATATCAAGTGAGCAAGGTGTTTTGTTTTCTGTTTTTGAATCTGTTTTTAGGGTCGAGAACTTGTAATCATCGTTCATGGCATCTTTGATCAAATGCTATTTGTATAATTGTAATGTGTGGCGCAAATGTGCCTTCCACATTCAACGGGCATGTGTGTGTGTGTGTCAACCCCTGGACCAAGGGTTCACCGCTACTGACTTTCTACTTTCCCCCCC